CTTCATCGCCTTCAGCTTGACTTACGCTCAGGAGCACCCTGACCGCGTCAAGGCCTTGATCCTCCGCGGTATCTTCATGCTTCGCCAGTCCGAGCTTCGTTGGTTCTACGAGCAGGGCGGTGCTTCCCACATTTTCCCAGGTACGACACAAACATAATCAACAGCAGCATAGGGCCGTCTGAAGACTCAGGAACAAACATAAAATCAAATATGTGGATCGAAAGCTATACAGAGACACTCATAGCTTTACCCCCTCTCTTACGTTGATAAAACTACATAGATGCCTGGGATGAGTACATCAAGCCCATCCCCGAGAACGAGCGCGACAACTTCATTGCTGCCTACCACAAGCGTTTGACCGGCGACGACGAGGAGGAGAAGATCCGCTGCGCCAAGGCTTGGTCGACCTGGGAGTGCTCTACTTCCAAGCTCTACGTCGACCCTGTGGAGATCGCCAAGGCGTCTGAGGATATCTGGGCCCTGGCCTTTGCGCGTATCGAGTGCCACTACTTCTTCAACAAGGGTTTCTTCAAGACCGAAGCTCATATCCTCGAGAACGTTGACAAGATTCGCCACATTCCTGCTACCATTGTCCAGGTAGGATGCTACTGAGTCAACGAAGGAATTGGGAAGGAGTCACCTGGAAGACATAACGAAAGCATGGTTCTGGATCTAACATGTTTGCTTATATCTACTTGAATATTCGACAATAGGGTCGCTATGATGTTGTTTGTCCCGCCACTTCTGCCTGGGAGCTCCACAAGGTCTGGCCCGAGGCTAAGTTCGAGTTCATGGCTGATGCTGGCCACAGTGCTAAGGAGCTTGCCACCACTGCCCGCCTTGTCCAAGCTGCTGATGAGTACAAGACCTTGTAAACGAAGAGAAAAGTGATATCACTTTTTACATGTAAAATAAAACTAATCAAGACCCCAGACTCGGACACTTTTCTTCGGACACTTTTCTTTTATTTTCATTTCTTTGGCGTACGATATGCTGACTCAGTTTTCAGCAAGAGGATGTTCAAAAAAAGAGATGCGAAAATATTGGAGAGGGAGGGATTCGAACCCCCGAATGCTCAGAGAGCATACCGTGCGAAGAATTTAGGTGCACAGCGCCTTGGACCGCTCGGCCACCTCTCACAGCTTTGAAGCGTCAATGCATATTGAATTCATCGCCCCATAGACTATTTAATGTTGTACCATCGTCTCCTGTTATTTGAATAGGTGTCCTGTAATCAAATGACTCTGCCATCAAATGTTTAGCTGCGCAGATCGGGCTGGATGCGGTGGGTTTATTATTGGTGTTTTCATTATCTGTTTGTATGAGTAGAGAGCATTTTTGTGGAGGCTCGAAAGTAGGACAGCGAAGGCCACATTTGACTTTATGTTACGACTTTTCATGACCTATCAGAAATTAAGCTTTGTCCCTTTGCTTCCAGTCAAATCTTCACTTTCATTTGCACGGCATTTCTGTACTAAGCAGTTCAAGGCAGCCAAGAACCATTTTTTTTTTGCTGCAGATCTGCCTCAGGCTCAACGACGTGCACTTCAGTCTTGCCAGTGCTGGTATATTTCGTCTTGATGTATACACCAGATCAGGCTGCTTCTGGTGAGTGAAGTCCACCATTAGCCATTTCCCATTGTCCTCTGGAACGAAAGAGCTGGCAGTGTCGATCGAACGGCTTTTCCATCCAGATTCCGCAGAGACGGCATGAACCTCAACCATCCCCGACCTGGTGTTCCTGGACTTGATGTAGTAGAGGTCTGCAAAATCCCCGTCGCACTTTGGTGCAAGGCACCAGGTGCCATTGTTGTCGTTGCCAAAGCCTGTTACGACGTGTTGTGTGAATTGTTGATAGTTTGATACTTTGCTGGCAACATAATATTCGACCATGTTTGAATCGCAATTCCGGGTCTTGATATAGACGAGGTCGCCTTTTTTAGACATAGTCCAGATGCCATTGTCCTCACAGTCGAAACAAGTGCCGGTTTGGAGGACAAAGTTCAGGTATCCGGAGGCAGCATCAGCGACGTGCACCTCCACTGTGCCAGCGCCTGTGTTGCGTGTCTTTATATAGACCAGGTCGGCCTTGCCATCGCCGGTCCAGTCCTGCATCAGCCATGTCCCGTTGTCCTCGATGCTGAAGGCAGTGCCAGTAGCCAGGCTGTGTTGCTGAAAACGAGATTCACCGCAGGACCCATGGACTTCGATTCTACCGCTGATGGTGTTTCGAGTCTTAATGTAGACAAGGTCTTGGGAGCCATCTCCATTGGTATCGGCAAAGGACCAGATTCCATTGTCCTCTGTGTTGAAGACAGTGCCCGTTGCAAGGATTTTTCGTTGGTACGCCATGCTTGTGCGATTACTGGAGAGATGATTTAGATAAGCGAGAATTGATGATTTGTATGGTGAGTGACAGTTCCAGACAGTGCTGTATATAAATCCTGCCTGCTCTAAACAACCTGGGCACTTGGGCCTTGCCCGCGTAGCTCTGTTGGTCTAGGTGCTTCTTTCAGTCAGTTGCATTCGGTCCAGACACTATGATATATATCTCTTGCATGCCCTAAACAGCTCGAGCTCTTGGACCTTGCCCGTGGAGCTCTGCTGGTATGGATGCTTTCATTCAGTTTTGCTTGAATAGTTTTCTGTGGGGTCTTAAACTCAAAATGTTTCCCGCGAGCATGGGTTACCACCAAACTTGTCACCAGAAATTTGCCTCAGAATTCCGAGATTCATAAAATAGAGTGCAAATTTGACTAGACTTGGTATTCATCAGGACCGTCGAACGATGACAATATGACGACAAAGAGTCGATGTTCGTAAAAAAATAAAAAGTGGAGGCAAATTTCAGGAACGGGCAAAGTCATTTAACTGGTTCTGCTACGCTTTGCTTCTCACTTTTTGACGCCCTCCTTTTGTACTGTTTCTGGATCTCTTTGGCCCAATGAGAATGGAGAAAAAAAAACACGGGAAACAAAAGTCTTGCTTTTGGATTTTAAATAGTAACCCTCCTTTCTTAAAATTCAAGCAGCAAGACTTTAATTCGTACTATTTTTTCTCGATTTAATTGTTGGCAGTAAATTTCAGAAGCATGAAGCAACATGAAAGGAGAGAAGACAACGCTGAGAAGCAAGACAGCTGAAGAGGGGAAAGATGAACAGCCGCGACAACACGTCTCGTTGGCTGTTGGTGGATGTTGCCACCAATTTTGTTTGCTTTAATTTTGACGACTTTTGGCTCTTTCTGGAAGATACTTCTCAAGCGAGGAAGTTGGGGGGTTCAGTGGATTCATTTCAGGAAGCAATGGTAAAGGGCAAGTGATGAACAAGACTTAAATTCGATGGTTGATTGTCGTTTTTAAAAAAAATAATAGTACACGTTTGGTAGCGGATTTTAGACGAGGGATCGACGAAAAGCGTCATTCCACGCTTATTGTTGACCATTTTTGCTTCTCAATGTTTTCACACCCGAAAACACCCCTTCATGGCTCAACTCATAGAAGTAAACAGAAGCAAACTTTGCTTCTCGCGTTTTGTTTTCTCAGTTCTCATTGGGCGCAGAAGCACTGCACTTGGAGAGCGTAAAAAAAGAAATGGTTGCTTAACAATATTTTTCTGCGTCTAGTCCCACTTTGCTACTGACCAAATATCTACAGGTGTTACGAGAAACAAGTATAGAAGCAAAGGGTTGCTTCTGCCATTTTTTAAAGAATGAGAGGGCCGTTTTTTTATTTTCTAGTACGAACACGAATATATTGCCCTAGTGTTTACATCTTCGTAGTTTGGCCTTTTTTTTTTTTTTTTTCAGCACTTTTTGTATGTGTTGTTCACAACACAAACGGCACGAATCGCGCCAGCGAGTTGACAAAGATCTTCCACTCAGACCCAAACGCCTCGTTCACCATCACCTCCTCGCTCTGAACGCGGTGCCAGGTGACCTTGGCCAGGAGGACGTTGACGACCAGGTAGACAGCCGCGCCCAACACCTCAGGCACCGAGGCGCCTGTGGGGAGCAACCAGGCCTTGAGGAGGGTACAACCCGCCGTCACAGTACATGCAGGTCCACACGGTCATGATCGAAAGGAACAGGCCTGTGTAGCCTGGGTGGACCAGGAACTGGTAGTATTCCTGCTGGCATGGCAATCATGGGCTTGGGAACTTGGCGACGAAAATTAAATAATCAAGGAAAGCATTTACTATTCACAAAACAAAAGGCCTAAATCGAGCACTACCATAAGCAAAGATGATTGAAAGCCTTTCAAGAGAAAAAGCAACCCTCCAAACTACCTATTTTCGCCTTTAGGGGAGGTCATTAACGAACGCGTTATTGTGCTCATCTGGCATTGCTATTTTTTCGTTATTTATTTCCTTGGCTTTGTCTTGCGAGTTATTTCAATCCAATGCTCGTGCTGCACAGACGACAACGCCGTCTTCAGCCTAGGTGGTCCATAGGTCCAGAAAATCAGTTGCTGCTCCGTGTCCCACTCCCATGTACCGTCGCTCACCCGCACTGTACTGCCTTGTGGCCCGTCGGGGAAGTGGATTCGGGGTATATAGATCTCTGTCCGGGTCTCCTTAGCTTTTTTCTGCTTCTCAGTTTCAGATCCGACCACTACTGTCGCTGCTGCAGACGATGGCGCCAAAGTCCATAGTTTGAATACTGGGCCACGACGGTCAAACTCGATCTGGATTGGGCGGCCCACTGTGGCGACTGGATAGGGTCGACAGAACTGTTCCACGGCACGCCCTCCTTTGTCCAGATCGTGAAATATACTGGCCAGAGAGCTGTCATCTTTGGCGACCCTGGAATATAGACTGAGGTTCTCGCCATTCCAGCCATCACCGTATTGGGTATCGTTCTCGTTCGTGTAGTTCCAGAGTGTGTAATGGACCAGGTTCCTATCCAGCCCGTTCAATATATTGTCAAAAGCCTTCTGGAACTGTTTTGTAGGCTTGAAGCGGGCGTCCTGGGCGGTTGCGGTTGAAGACTTGGTGTTGTACTGCCCAGCTTGCTTCTTCTCGCTCAGACCAACGTCAAAGTGGAGCCCTGTCTCGCCAATCAGGACCGGTCGATGACCTAGAGAGCCCATTATTTTTTTGCGGAGGAAAATGTTAGTCCTTTGGTTCATTCAATCAATAACCAACAAAATAATCTCTGTAGACTCGTCCTTACCCAGACGTCGAGAGCATTCCTGCTGGATCTCGTGGATCTGTTGCCCAAATAGGGCCTTTGTCTTCTTACGGCCAAACACAATGGATCCAAAGAGTGAGCTATGGCGTCCACGACTGAGCCCCAGGAGATCGATGTTGATCCAGCCTAGGTATTTCTTTGTCAGCAGCACCAGATCGTCATAGTGGTGTGGTGTGTACACCATATTCGTCGTTAAACTGGTGTTGGAACTGTGGTCGTGCCGGTGGCCCTTGGATTTCTTGCGTCGCAACGCTGCTGTTCGTGATCCATGCTCGAAGATAGCAGGAAGAGTCCCCCTTGTACTGCTGTGGTGACTACTATGACCACTCGCATCCTTGCGCTGGAAAATAGGTAGAATCTTTCGGCGAGTCGAGCCCTCGTGTGTTTCGACACAATCGTCCTCATCCCCCTCAATGATCGCCGCCGTTTCTTCGTCCACCAGATTCGGTGGGGGCACATACACGGGCGGCTCCAGGAATAGGATCGCGGAGCGATGGGTCTTGCGAACTACATCGATCACCCTTTTTGCAAAGGGCAACCAGTGGTCGTGTACCCAGTCGATCGGCCGGGGGCCAGAGATCCCTGGGGTACGAGGTCCCACCAGAAAATAATCATGCTGCAGCACGGTCCTGTGCTGGATGGACCATACGCCGTGCTGTGCCCAGAGACATTCTCCAGCGTTAGGGAACGCAGCGTCCCGTCGGATCCCGTACTTTGCGTCGTATGCATCGCGAAGATCCTTGGTCAGCCATGCCTTGATCGTCTTGTCGCTCGAAGATGCCACAGAACTATGCACAGATGGATCAAGAGTCCTGGATCCTTTCTTTACGGGTCCCACAAGCTCTAGCCGATAGGCCGCCACATCTTTCACCATCATACCTTCACCCAGCATCAGCGACTGAAATGGCGTCGGCATGTCGCCCTGGCGCATGTCGTGCTGCTCCGGAAG